ACAGTGAAGTGCTGAGGACTCTGCCAAATCCGTGTTTGGGAAATAGAGGCCTCGGTGCCCTCACACCTCAGCTCATGACTGAGAACATCTCCCAGGTGTGACCTGAAGCCCGGCCAGGAGGCTGTGTGATGATGGAGCCTGCTCTGTCTCCAAAGCAAGAAGAACCCCTGGGTGACAAGCGAGGGAACAGGGRACTCAATAGTGCAGCTAAACAGATAAGCTCAAAGCAGGGAGGTTTGTGAGACAGTTGGAGGGTTTTCTTTGCAGTTCAAGCATTAGAAACCCTGGCACCCTGAACTTGGTGGGAATGCTTCTGTTGGTACAGTCTGTGCAAGACCAYGTTTATGGCATGTGAACCCAGCAGACCCTTGTTCACTATTACTCAAGGAATCAGGCTAATTTCTTCTCCAGAAGTCTGATGCCTCTGTGACCTTGTACTTTATATAAAAACATGCAATTCTAGTGTGCATTAAACGTGCAAATGTTACATTTAAAACACACATCCCCACAAGGGGATATATTGTAGGCAGAGCCTGACTTTTATACTGSGGAAAGAAGAGGGAGAATTCACAAGGAATCTGCCCTTACATCAGAGTTGAGGTGTCAGGAAGAGTGGGACTCGAGGAGCAGAGGGACAGTCCTCTGCTCAGCCCTAATGTTGCTCCATGTGCTCCATCCCACCTGCTTAATGAGAAAGTCTTGCTGCAAGTCAACAAGACAGACAACCGGGATAGCAGGTTGAGTGAGGACCATTTTTATGCTTTGCAAAGCAGCGGGCATGAAAGGATGGCTGGGATCAAGTCGCTCTGTGTCGCTGCCACAGCCTCTGTTACGTGCTTTATTTTTGTTTTTCCTCCTTCTTCCTCTTTGAGCCTTCAGGCTTTCACAAGGTTTTCACACGCCATGATGGGAAGGACTGACAGATGTTGCTGCAGAGGCAGTCAAATAGGGGCAGGAGACGAAGACCTAAATAAAAAGTAGTACCRTGCCATCTATGGCTTAACACAGTGGGAAAAGTCAGTTAATTTGTTAATCTAGACTAATAAATACTTTAGTAATGCCCTTTGGAGCCTGCAAAAGTCTGGCAAAGCAGCAAGTACTTTATGGGGCATTTTGACATCTCCCTTCTGTAGCCCTTATGCAGTGCCCTGCCCAGGGCTCAGTCCTTGCAGTTGCTCCTCTGGATGCTTTCTGCTTTCTTTCAACTACAGGTACCACCAATGAGAAAGCCCTTGACACTGAAGATTAGGAGTCACCTGCTTGTGTTGTGGTAATCTCTGCCTACTATACAAACCAATCCTAACGGAGCACCTGAGCACCAGAGAGCTGTAATTATGATATAGAGTTTCCTGTGCTCACAGGTAGTAATGCAGCCTGTATTTTACAGATAATGTGCAAAGCGGAATCCCAGTGTGCAGCAGATTGACATTCAGTAATAAAAATCCTTCCCAAGATGTTCATGCTAATAACTAAAAAGCTGGCGAGCCCTGTTTGGGAGGTGAGGGTGGGAAACAATGTCCCCCTGGCACCACAGGGCACTGAAATCAGGGAATACGGGTCTCAAACCTGTAGAGTTTTAGATTCACAAATGCTCTTTTGTAAAGGGGAAGTGCAGAAACTGATCTTGGGCCATGGGCTGTGAGATTATTTCCCTTAAATAGTGATCGCTTAAGTCATCAAAATGATGATGGATAGTTGATGTAGAAATTCTCTCAAAGGATGTTGAAGATTTTCAGTTAACATGTCATGTTAACATTATTTTCACTCAGAAAAAAATTTAAAAATCATTAAAAAATCAGATCTTTTTTCTTTTTAATACTTTCTATGGACAAAAAATATAGAGAGGTTTTTCACAGTGTCGTATATGCCTCGAAAATGTAGCAGCAATTTCATACCATCTTTTCAGTCCAGCCAATGAAGTGGGTCCTGTTTCTTTTTCCRTTCTGCATAAGTCTCTTTCCAGTTTCAGAAGAGGCATAAGATCCACAAAGTCATTCCTGGAGTAGATTAAAAGCTGAACAATGTCTGAGGAGAAAGTGCTGCATTTGCATGTACAAAAGGCAGGCACACGAGTGAGCAACGGGCTCAGAAGCGAAAGGGCTTCAACTCTTCCCAGCAACAAAGATCAGCTTAAAGAAAGGGCTTGCAGCATCTTTTGGGGTCAAACGGTTTTTCCAGGTGATTTTGTCCCCTCGTAGCCCTGCTCCTGCTTCTAAGTAATTTCTGACAGGGCTAGAAAAAGGTCCTTTTTATCCTTCCCTTCCTTCTGCAGCAGCATTAGTTATTTAAGGAGCTCAGTGTATCCTCAGTATATCTATGCGCTGATCTATGGGGCCATCTCACACTTTCTCTCTTAACCCGAGGGGAATTAAAGGCAGCTTAAGGGCTTGCAGAACCTCCTGGCAGAGGTTCCTCTGTTTGCATTCCCCGAAGGTGGTTATTTTGGTCCAGCACGAATGGGGCATTACYAACACTATGGGCAGCTATATGAAAAAATACATATATGTATATACAATGTGCTGTAGGGGTTCAAATTTACCTTGTTTTAGCAATTCTGAGACTGGATCCTATTCTCGCTGAACTCACTAATGACCTTCCCACTGCTTTCAGTGAGACTGAGATTGGTGTCTGTTTATGGAAAGATTTTACCAAGTAACTATGATTTTTTTTTTTCAAGGATTTGCCAAGAATTTCAGCAGTTCTAATACTTCTTTCAGCTAATTTCTCTCCCTTCTTATTTGCCCAAGGAGATGATTTTAGTGCAATTGTCTGTTGCCCATCTGGAGTCGGGGGAAGCCCATTCCAACGTCAAATCACAAAACTATTTATTTTTCATAAACACAAAAGCCACTGTTGGAGACTAGGGCGCAGCTTGGGACGGCAGCCTCTGGACATGGACATTCCATCTGTCCCGGTGGCAGATTTGCCCAGCTCTCAATCCCTGTTCCTGACTCATGTTAATGTATGAATCCAATTGTACCCGTGCGCAGTGTGCGCCTTTCAGCGCCCATTAGGAACATTAACATCATACACTGAACCCGCGTAGATGTTTGGGCTTTATATAGTGCCAAATGTCCACAGATCTCTGCTCCCAGTGAAGGCAACACAAAAGAAGAGAGGCTATTTTGAAGTTTTGTGGAGTTTTTTTTTCCCTTTGAGATTGAAGTCCAGTGTCTTGGGACCCAGTGACTTTAGGTGACCTTCCGTCTCCACGGACTGTACTAAATTTCAGCCCCTGGAGGCTACTCCATACAAAACCTCCTGGCTTTCAAGGGCAGGTGCAAGCGAAGCTTCACTGCGCCGCAGATCAAGACCTGTTACTGCCAGAATTAGATTTCACAAATCGCTTTTATTTAACGGGACATCATTAAGGAACTGGCTTATACTGGTTGCCGGCGTCTAATTAATATAAGCATTATGCTTCAATTAAGATTTCCAAGCAATAACGTTTCCTCTTTTGTGTTTGTACTGGCCGAGGAAGATGAATGTGTGTGTCTGTGCATGTGCAAAATACGGTAAAGAAATATTCTGAAGCCTTAAAACTCGGACACGTGGAATGAACAAATACCTCCACGGAGGCATCTGTGCGCCCTGAATTCAGCCTGTTTGCATGCATCTTTTGCAGTAATTATATGATCCCATTTAATATATTTGCTAATATATTTTATTTCACAGGAGGGCTGACTTTCAGGAGCAGAATTTGCCCGAGCRATGAGCAACTACTCCAAGTTTTGTCCAATTCTCATTGCATATCATTTTTTTACCTTTACACCTTACTTTTTACACCTTATTTTTTTAGAGGCCTCCCAAGTACCATCAGGACGCCTGAAAGCTCCACTCAATGCAACCCTTCCGTTCAGCCGAAATGTGGAGYGCGGTGCTGCTCCAGCTTTACACCTGAGAAACTGAGGCATGGAAAAATGAAAGTAGATGGAATGCACTAAAAAATAGGGCTTTTCGGTGTTTTCCAACCTTTAGCCTTGATGAGAAGCAGTAAGTGTGTGTGTATGTACCTCAAAACATTTCTGCAGGGGCTGGTGTGCATGTTTGGTGTTGGAAACTGGATGTCCAGCCCTTGCAGCTGTTTCTGCATCCGTGTGAACCGCGGTCTCCCGTGCGATGGGGGCTCCGCTCAAGATCTTGTTCTGCATTTTCTGCCATTAAATGTATCTGCTCATCCAGCTCTGGGGATGTTGGGTGCATAAAGYAGTGTAAAAACGTGAGCTGAAGCTTTAGGGTGCTTGGCTGCCCAGCTTGATGTGGGAGTGTTGGGAAACGCTGGAAACGGGCAGGATGGAGCAGTTGTGCAGCAAGGCAGAGGGTTCCCCAGCACCCTCCAAAGCAGCAGGCCTTTGGTCCCCGAAACAGCTGTGGGATGGCAGGACCCCAGGATAATCGTCCCCTTCCAGCCAAACCCCATCGAGGAGCCCTGAACCCACCCTGGGCAAGCAGAATGCCAGAGGCACAGCAAAAATTCAGTAAAAACGTTAAAAATTTTATTTACACGGTAATTTAAAGTACATTTTCTTTTAATTAAAAAACGAACCCACTGTGACAGGAGGCATAATAATAGAATAAAGCTCTTTATGTACAAAAATACAATTTTCATATGAATGAACATCTCGAATAAATTAAGCGGCGCTCGGGCCGAGGCGCCGGGCCGGGGGCACCGTCCCCGCGGCGGGAGCCCCGGGCGCCGCTGCCGGGCGCTGAGCGCCGCGCTGCGCCCCGGCCCCGCGGGCCTTTTCAGCGCCTTGTCAGGGCGTTCAAACCGAATTGTCACGCTCCTTGCGCGCCGCCGCGCTGCTACAAATTGTAAAAGTGACTTTTCACCTCGGCCGCGCTAGCGCGGGCGGCGCCGTCCCCCCCTCCTCCCGGCTCCGCTCCCTCCGCGCCGGGGCGCGCAGCGGGGCCGCGGCTCGGGGCGCGCAGCGGAGCGCGCAGCCCCAAGTGCAGGACGCGCAGCGGGACGCGCAGCGCCGGGCCCGGCGCGCGCAGCCCTAGCGCAGGGGCGCGCCGGGCAGCCCGCAGAAGGCGCGCAGAGCCTCGGCGGGCGCGTACGCGCAGTCCTCGGACGTGGCGGGGCTGCTGGGCGCCGAGGCGCCCGCGCCGAGCGAGGAGGGCGCGCAGGGCGAGGCGCTCGAGAGCCCCGAGTCGCTGTGCGGGCTGGGCGGCGCGGGGCGCAGCGCGGGCGCGCGGCGCTGCTCGGCCAGGCGCAGCGTCTCCGCGAGCGCCCAGATGTAGTTGTAGGCGAAGCGGAGCGTCTCGATCTTGGTGAGCCGCGCGTCCTCGGGCGGCGTGGGCAGCACGCGGCGCAGCGCGTCCAGCGCCGCGTTCAGGTGGTGCATGCGGTTGCGCTCGCGGTCGTTGGCCTTCACGCGGCGGCTGCGCTTGAGCGTGTGCAGCAGCGCCTCGGTGCGCGCCCGCGCACGGCCCCGCCGCCGCCGCCGCTGCTGCTGCTGCTCCCGCGGAGCGCCCGCCGCCTCCGCCGCGCTGCTCGCCGCCTCCGCGGGCATCCTGCGGGGGAGAGAAGAGCGCGCCCGTCACTGCGCGGAACCCCCCTGGGGACGGGGAGGGACACGCGTAAGTGCGAAGCGCGCAGAGGAGGACGAGGAGGTGGGAATAAGCGGAGCAGGTGCGGGGCGAGGTGCCTGCGCCCCCCCGCGCTACTCACATGGCAGGTCAGTCGTGGGGATGCAGAGAGTTAAAAACAAAAATCGGTAAAAATTGTAAATGATAATACTAAAAAAATAAAATTAATAAATAAAATCAATGAAATAAAAAAAATATAAATAAATAAATATTTTTAAAGGGCAGCTCCTGAAAGGAAAAAAAAAAAGGAAACAGCCTTAAAAGGCCGGGGGGCGGGGGCGCGCGGCCGCCGTGGCCTTTGAAGCGCGCGGCGCGGGGCCCGCTCGTGTGCGCGGCCGCTGTGGCACACGACGCCCGCGCGGCCGCTTCTTATAGCGGCGCGCGCACAATGGCCGCCCCCGCGGCCGCCCCCGCGGGGCCGCGCCGAGGCGGCAGGTCGGCCCCGTGCGCCGCGCCCTCCGGAGCGTGCCCGCAATTAC